AACGCTCTGCAGAGCCAAAGCAGATCCGTGTCACCAGGGCAGCAGCCAGCCTGGCTCTCCAGAAATTAATTCAGAGCCACCACGTGCTGTCTAGCAGACTCATATAAGCACTAAGTGGTTCATGGGCACCCAGAGCCGTGATCTCAGAGATGTTGTCTAAGCATTATCAGATCCAGAGGCGTCTCTGAGTCGCCAGGTCAGCAAGTAAGCAGTGCAGCTGCAGGAGTGGGGAACATTGCTGCTCCCCTTGCAGCAAGGCTACAGAGCACAACCTGCACGTGGTGTGAGCAATGCAGGGATAATTATTCTGATCTGGTTTTGGGACTTGATGTGCAGTTCCCTCTCTTGGCTGTAAGCTTTTAAGATGTAACGCTCCCAGCCTTCATCCAGGGGGAGGGCTGTGTATGTGCTTTTCTTTCAGGAAATTCCCAAACTGGTGTTCAGCTATCAGGAGCACACCAACCATTTTGGGACATGAAATGCCAGCTGCAGAAACTGCAGCCTCTGCTCTGAGGATACACCCATTGAAATCCTCCCAGGGCTGCTCTCAGGAACTGAGTGATACAGCCCCACAAAGACTCTGACCAACTCGGGTTCACGCTGCTGCCAGTTCCAATTAGCAACAGCACAGCGCTTTTACACAGGCTCTTTGCAGCAGCCTGCCCGCGTACTGCCAAAGCAAGCCTGCCAGCCCAGCCAAAGCCCTGACCACAGGCCAGCCCTTTATTTGCTGCTCAGCACCCTGCCCTGCACCCGCCCCAGCCCTGCCTTGCTCCACAGCTCCACGCTTTTCCCTTCAGCCTGTCATTTGGAAACCTATCAAATGCCTTTGGTTAGCTGAACACACTCCTCCTGCTAAATGCCTCTTATTCAACCCCACAGGGGTTGCCTCTTATAAAACTTATTCAGTAAGTTACCTCTTACTCAACCCCACTGAGCTGCAGCTCGTTCATCACGGCGGCCGACTCCTGAACCAGCCCCCCCCGAAGTTGGCACTGCCAGGGGTCTCCCCCAGTCTTGCCCCCCCCCCCCGCCCCCTCCTGCCAGCAGCCTGCCATCCCTGCAAACAGGAACTCTGTTAGAGCTTCCAGGTTTGGGTGTTGGCTCTGGAGCTGGATTTTCCATCTTCCCAAATCCAAAAAGCTTTTAGTTGAAGCATTTGAAAAAAGATTTGACTATTTCCATCCTCAGGCCCTCCCCTGAGCTCATGAACACATCTATTTCTCAGTGGATGCACTGTCTTGCTCTCAATGCACAGGGGCCCCTTTGTTCAGGGATCAGAAGGGATGGACAAGGCCACGAGCTCCAGGAACGCACCTTCCCGTGCCTGACACAGCAGTGATTTGAACTGATGCCAACAGCAATCCCCCCACATCCAGTGGGGTACCTGCAAAGAGCCCACTCCCAGTGGGCTTTTCTTTGGAAGACAGATGTTACAGATGTTTCAGCTCAGAGCATGTGCGTGAATTACACGACTTGTTCATTAGTGTTTTTGAGTTAGAGTAAGAGCACTGGTCTGCTACAAAGATGAGACAGGAAACATGTCCTACTGGATGCTGAGAGGCCTCTCTAGAAAAAACAGGTGTCTGAGGCTTAAAAAGTTTTTAAATATCCTGACAAAGAAAGAAATCTGCCTGTGAGCACAACCCCTGTTGTTTGTTTGCATCCAGCTGTGGCTGATACTACCCATACTTTGTGCTTGCTGACTAACTCCTCTCCAGCAGTTCCTGCATCCAACATGCAGCAGACTAGAGTTGCTCCTTGGTCCAGGCACCTTGGTTCAAATTACAGACACCATCTCACTACCCCTTGTCCCATGGTCAGCCCTTGCCATACCAATAGACAGAGACCTTACTCCCAGTCCAAGTTTTCTAAGTGGCTTGCATACAGTCCCTCATACCTCTTTCTCACAGAGAAGATCCCCCAGGAGCTGTAACTTCTAAGCATGATGAATGCAGCAGTCACGCTGGCTCCCTCCCCATTTCTTTTCCCCTGCAGACTTGAAAGATGTCCCATTGGATCTCACTGACGGTAGCCAGGTACACCAGGTTTTCCTCTGGCTATGGATTACCCAGGCATTACACACCTTATCCGGCTTCTTTAAGCATGCTCTATAACATACTCTCCTCCAAATCGATATCTTTACTGCCTCCACTACATTATCAGCTTCTCAAGTTTTACAATACAAGGCCATAAAATTCTACTTTTCAGAGTTATTTATCATCTCTGACTTGCTGTCTGTTCCACAGTTCCCCCCTCTGCTTTGCTCTTTACACTTTGCAGGACTGGCCAGTCGTCCAGGCACCATTAACACAAACTTTAAAAGCAGGCAAACTGCACGCTTCGTGGAGCAGGGGGAGGACGAGGGTGTCCCAGCAGCCACACCACCCCATGAGCAAGAAGGGCTGGGACACAGCAGGTTGCAAGGAGCCAAATCTTTCCTAGCAGCACCTCTGAGCCTGCCTCCCCATGCCCAGGCAGTCCCCCGTGGTCCCCATGCCAGCCTGCTCCTGATAAACAGCTCAGAGCCAGACCCAAGAACTGAGCCCAACCACCCGAGAGCCATGGGCTCACCACCTCCTGCAGAAGGGAGACCCTGGGGGCCCTCCAGACTCCACCACCCAAAGAACTCTAATGACAATCATATATACATGCAGCAGGCATTGATACATATATGAGGACCATATTTTCCTATTAAGTCTTCTCTTTGGGAAAGGTAGAAGATAAGGCAACCACAACAGGCTAAAGACTATCATTAAAGTCTCAAACCCAGCTTCTGTAGCATGCAAGTCACTTTGTTCTTTCCCCTCCATGATCAACATTACCTGGCCAGACAAAGATTACAGCAGCAAAGAGATCAGAATAGTTTCATGGCAGCGGAGAGGTGGCATTGTGGCCTTCAGTGTTGTCCAAGTGGTTAAATGGTGCTTTGCTCCACACTGAAGGCAGAGGCAAGTTCAAGGAGACCTAGATCAGCATGTTCCTCAGCCAGTGGGAACCTACCTCAAACAGCTGGCACAGGAATAGGACCAAGGAGTTCAGTATCCTCCCTGGATGTAAAGGCCAACTGAACACGAAAGCAGTTGTAAGAAGAATAGCTGACTGTGCAAGTTTTGCTAGTTTTGTAACTGCACCTTCAGTTTGCCAAGCTAGAGCGGAAGAGCTCAAGTAAAATCACAGCTATTCTACAGAGAGTCTCCAAGAAAGGGGGTAGAGGGAAAGAAAAGTGGAGCATCTTCAGAAATAAACCCTTACCTACATTAAGACAGACACTGCAAGGTACAAGCTTACATCAGGTCTCACTTCAGTGACTGACCAAAGAACTACAGAGTACCAGGAAATGCAACAGAACTATCTCTGGCTAAAAATAGGCCCAGCTAATTAACAAAACCTTGTTAAAAGGGACACCCAGCAGCAAGCATAACCTCTTCTTCTTTACAAAGGGATGATCAATATTGTCTGTCTCAATAGCAGCAGCAAATCCTCAAAACCACTTCAATGTGAGCAACTGCTCAGCTGGTGAGACACAAAGAAACTCTCTCAGTACCCTGTCCTGGGTTTCTTCTAAAACTGTTTAATGCCCTGCAGTGTTAGAGAGAGATCTGCCTTTCCTAGCCACTGTAATAAATACATATCAATTGCTTTCAAGTTTAATAAAGAGAGATCCTAAAAGCTTTGTCTGGATCTGCTTTTTCCATTCAATTAATATAATACAATACCAGGGCAATGAATTATTGAAGAGAAATACAAGCCAGAGCTTTCACAAACACACTCTACTCCAATAGCAATTTATTACAAATTAATAGCATGCTGCATTTCCTCCTACATCAAGAACTGGGAATCAGCTGCATTGTGAAACTATACCAGCCATGAAAATTTCAGAGCTGCCATAAACTGCTACAACCCTGAGCACAAATAAGCTGGGGGTGGGAATGGGGAGCAGAAGGAGGGATGGACAACCAACAGAAAAACAGAAGTCACTTCTGCTTTGAGGGTTTTCTACTCATGAAACAACATTGTTTGCGTAGGAATAATCAGTCTTTTCACATCTTTGCTTGTATCAGCGTTCAAAAGCATGCTCAGTGTGTAGGGCTGACAACCCAGTGCATGTTCATTGTTGCATGAAAGCAATGCTGAAGTTTAAAATAAGCATTGCTGTGAACAGAATTGATTAATGTCCTAGTATGGTAATTCATATTTGCACATTTAAAGTTATATCGGCTCAGCAGGAGGCTTCCAATATTTTTCACACCCTGCCCTTAACAACACACTCGCCCCAAAATGACCCTCTAACACTCATATTAGAGATGAGCCCCAAACTGAAAAAACATCTTTTCTTCTGCAAAGAAGTTCAAATGCCAACCAGCCAGAAAAATAGTTCACATTTCACCAAGCTATTACTCTGGAAGTACTTGCAACAAGACCATCAAGAGCAACATGGGGATTGTCACAGGCCTGTTTTGGGGGCATGTTTAAAGATTATGTACCAGTCAGTGAGTTCAAAGCTCTTGCTTAATGTGCTTCTTGCTAGAAATCATCTAAGCACGTTGATCCTCCAAACAGTTGGAGTGAATGCAAATGCACTAGTGCCCAGCGTCCGGAAGATGTTACACTCTGCAGCAGACAGGCATCTCCAGCAGCGTGTCAGCCAAGAGTTACTCCTCCATTAGAGCAGCAAACCCCCACAAAACCATAGGTGAGAGCATACACCAAACCAGAAGGGATTTTCCCCTCAATAGCTTTTCCATTTCCAACATACATTTAGGAAGGTAATTTCCTGATAAACAGGAAAACATGCAACCACCACCACAAATGCTGTACTACCTTTTTCAATTCCATTATTAAATGCACCCAACCTCTCCACCTTCCTCTCTGCCCAACACAGAGTAGAAAACCAAACACAGTTTGCTTTCATCAAGTGACTTCTCAGCTCGGTTAACCCCTGTGGCGTTAAATTTGGTGTCTCCCTCTCTTCCCTTGAAGCACAGCAGCAAACTCACCTCCATTTTTGATAGCTCTGATCCCCCGATGGAAATCTTCGAAGCTGATGACTCCAAGTCCGCTCGGATCGAGGTACTTTGTCAGGTCCTTTACCTGTAACCACAAAAGCAGTGTTACCCATAGAGCCCTTTGGGTAGACAAGACAGTATCTTCCACCAGAGAAGCACCTTGTAACAAATTTTAGCTCCTTACAAGAAAAAGATTTGGGCAGTGAATTTCTTAAACTGACATCAAACCGTGGCTGTTCTCCTTAAAGGGAACAAGTAATCAGTATAGAAGGGTTAATTAGTACTTGGCTGGTGCTAGAACTATTGCTTAGTCTTGAAACATATGTTAGGCAGTATTTCTTGCAACATGGTCCTTCTCCACCAGGGATTTGTTTATTTTTATGTTTTTTAAAGAGGTCCTATCTTAATTGGGAAAAGTCAATAATAGACTGCCCAGTAGGAGGGCCCAGTTAAGAGGATTCAGTGATAATGAACTGCTCCATGTTACAAATTTAGGCCATATAACTGAAACATTTTCACAATTACACAATGCCCAAGGGGGAAGGAATCATGTCAGCTAGTGAGGATTAGGATGTGGGTGCCAGAGCAGGCACACACATGCAGCAAGGGACACTTGTGACACCTGGTGAGGACGATGTGGGCTCTTCAAACAGAACAGGCTTCTGTTTGAGGGCAAAACCACAGTCATTCCTCATGGTTCAAACAAAGTCTTCGAAAAGGTGCATTTGGCTCCTTCCTTCCAGGCTGCCACAAGCCTGCCTCTCAGAAAACCCTTTACACCACTGATGCTTCTCAAGCTGAGAAAATCAGGTATTTCTTCCTGCTTTAAAAAAAAAATGCAGACCATCATTTTAAGAGATATTGAGGCACCTTTGTCTATTTTAGAGCCACACTCTTCAGCTGAGAAACAAGCCCAGGAGGAAGCAGGGTCTAAGACATGAGAAAAGGAATTGCACAATTAGCTCCATACTCAATAGCTGCCCTTGCCCTGTCAAACACATTGAACTCTCCTCCTCCAGAGCTGACACACAGGTGGAAGTCTTCAGGCGATCTGCAGTGCTAGATTTGTTCAGCTCCCATGAGCACAACCAGTTGCCTTTTGACTCACTCAGGCGAGTTTTGGTTTGGGGAAAAAGATGGTGAATCACCAAACCTCTCCTTCCAGGGAAGGAAACCTTGCATCAAAGAAGAGACTTAACATCTAAGGGCGAGGAGGACAACTGAGCCCAACCATGGTGCTCAGAGCTGCTTAACTCATTACTCATCAGCAGGGTTTGCCTTCTTTTTGTTTTGTTTTTCTTAAACCCAGGTATGTGTTTATACAGGAGAAATAACATCTGCAGCACACTCAGAGCTGTTCACCTGCATGTCCATGTGGTTTCGAACACACTGCGGGGAGGCAGGAGATGTCTCTGCTTCAGACGTCCCACCTCCCCGCAGCAGCAGTGAGCACGCTGCCGGCACGGAGGAAACCACAGGGCTGAGACCATAAAAAACACTCAACTGTGCTTCTAGGGGGTTGCCACGAGAGAAACTCCCAAGCCCCAGCATGGCACAGGCTTGCCCGCCTGCTGGCTTACTCCATCATGAACAGGGAGAAGACAACACAAGCATCTTCTCCAGTTTTCTGGGGAACTTTTTTGTTAGGCAGATAACAAAACTGCTGAACTCACACGGCACACATTAACTTGGGTGAGTCAGGCTTCTTGTATGTTAAACAAAGGTATTTTAGACTAATAAAAACAACTCTTAGGAATGTGTTGGTTCCAGTTAATGCATCTGGCAGCTTGAGTTCACAAACCGTAGCTTAATTTGTTATCTGTGTATATAGATAACAGAAATGCAAGTGACATTTAATCAGACTTGATAAGCCTATAAGTGATTATCATGACACTCTAAAGTATAGTTTCTGTAAAGATCCAGCCATGATGACACATGGGACACGCGAGGCAGGGCTGCTCACAACACTGCTGCAGTGCGTGCAGCTTCTCAGGACTAAGGAGGGTTTCAAGCCCTTGTGCCAATACCCCAGCAAGGACCTCTCCCACACCAGTGCTTGTGCAAAAGAGATAGAGCAGTCAGGCAAGTATTTTGTTTATGGAAAACAGCCACCTATGTATTTAAATAAAGCTGTGGGCAGGGGGAAATGTTTCTTAGAACTTCACAACCCTGACATTACAGATGCAAACAAAAGCCACACAACTGATGATGCTCAAGCCCACAGTAGTATGTCTGTGCTGATCCAAATTTGCTCTCCAAGCTTAAAAAGAACTCTGACCATTACCGATTGAGGCAACATCACCAGACTGAGTGTGAGTGGCAACTGACACTCAGAAGAGCTCACAACACACAGAAAACAAGAACACCAGCAGTGCCTGCCTGGTCCCCACAGTCCCTACAAGAAGCTGCCTGGGGAGAGCAGAGGCCATGTCCTGCAGGCCAGCACCCAGCATCTCCCAGCACCCACAGTGATGGAGCCAGGGATGCTGGGAGGTGGTGGTGGTGCCTTTACTGCCCATGAGCATCTGAACCTGCCTCCACCACCTCTGGGGCCACAAGCTCCAGAAGCTTACTACCTGCTCACAGGAGTGCCACCTTCTAACTCTTCTGCACCCATTTTCTGCTATTTCATCAACTGCCTTCCAGTTCTACCACCAAAAGACACAGTGAGGTGCAACTGTGATCCCCCTGGACCATATTCTCCTCCCCAAGGGGTCCCAGCCTGCCCAGCCTCCCCTTGCAAGGCAGCTGCTGCAGGCCCTTGGCCATTTTAATCATGTTTCCTGCTCCCTCTCCAGCCCCCTCCATCCTGTTGGAAGATGAAGGCCAGAACTGCATACACTATTCAAGACAGGGCACATCAAGATCTTGAACAATGCCAAACAGAGGTCCTTGGCGTTACTCTGATACCCCCCTCCCGTGGCCCACTGTCTTGTTCACACCTGAGCCATCATGGCACTGAGCCACCTGCATTGAGAACAGCCAACAGCAGCTCCAGCATCTCACTCCTAGGTTGTAACTGCCTGTTTTCTCCATGTCTTCATTTTGATGACTGGGCTAAAAACCCTACCTTATTAGGACAGTTGGGAAAAACCCCAAGCATTATGGCTCAAACTGTTTTACATAAGCAAATCTTAGCAGTTCTGAAGTCACAGGTCTGTTGCTTTTAGCTGAAGACTAATCTGCAAGAGTGGAGTAGTTAACACTGCACTCCTATTAGCACAAAAGTTAACACTACTAAACTGCAATGTTAAGCTAAAAACAGGCAGATATAAGCCACAGCCACAGTGAGGTTCCTGCTTTTTGGCCAGCAAGAAATATTCAAAATAAAGGTTTTACTTAATGTGTGTGTTCGTAGCTGGTTACAAAGTCTTCTTGAAGAAAGAGCAGCTAGAAATACAAAGCATTAAAGAGTCAAAGAGGACAATGTGGTTTAAATAGCTGATTTAAATCCTGGTGGAAAGGAGAGGTTTAAACTACTTGCAGTCAATCTACCTTAAGCTGAACACGGACACAAGCCTGCAGAACCAGAACCGATGGCAAGAACTGCTGAAGGGGCTCTGCTCGCTGGGGATGAGGCACAGCCCAGACGAAAGGCAGAACAAGCTCCTGGCACAAGTCCATTAGGGATTTTTCCTGGTAAGGGACCCAGAGAGGGAAGCAGACTGGGGAGGAGGAGGGAGGTCATCCAGCAACTCAACAACAGAACAAGAACTACTCATTGACCAACCACACTACCACATCTTCTTCTGTATTAAAGAGCTCTGCACACTGGCAGGGCATTTCACCTTCCAAAACCAACAAGATTTGCTGCCAACCAACACCCACCTCCAACAACCCCCTCCGACCAAGCCACTTCTGAGCACGTGTGCCAGCACCACGCCACACTGCTGGACCGGCTGTTAACAGCTTCCCCACTGTGTGGGGCAGAAAAAGAGCTTCCTTGCTTCGATGCAGTGAAATCAGTTCAGTAAGTGATTTCGAGCCTCAGCTAAGCCAACAGTCACAACTCCAAATTCAAATTAACACAAAGGCTTGGCAGCCACACCAGGAGGTTTTCCAGGAGGTGAAGGATTCCCCAGCTGTGAGTAGACCTGTTAAGCAGGCGGGAGGAAAAGGAAGCTCCGGGCCTTTTCTCCTTATCCTTATGGATGCTCCATGTCTCCACCACATAGCAGATGGATTCAGCAGAACAAAATATCCACTGTGCTTGTGTTAAGCATTGATCTCCAAAGGAAGCGAGGGCTGTGCTGGCCAGGCAACACCCTCCTTGTAACCCCTGAGCCTGCCAGAAGTTTTCCTTCATATTCTGGCAGAGACTGAGGCTGAATCAGCTTCCAAAAAGAAATTCTTTTGAGGGGTGAAATGAGGTTGGGAGATTTCTAGTGGCCACAGTAGTCAGGCACCCCACAAGGAAGAGCCAGCAGAGCTCAGCTCCTACAGTCGTAAGGTATCTCACACAGGTGATGCTTCTAGCCTAGCCACAACCGGGGCCAAGTCTTGCCCTTCACACCACAAGCTAGTTATTTGATGATACCATAGTGGGAGTGATTAGTCAGCATTTCAGTCCTGCTTTACTGTACACATACTCTGGAAGCAAATCCAAAGGCGACAAAGAAGAATCAATGCTGACATATTCCTGATAAATATCCCCAAATACTCAAGGCAGGCCAGCAAGCAGGCTGCAGTTCCCACCAAGGACTTGTGCACCTGCAGTCTCGCATATGCTGCAATAAGCAAAGACAGATGCTTTTGCCTTGAAGTTGCTCCCTCCTTTCCTTGGAAAGGATTTAACGTGTGGTCTCAGTCTTCTGAGTAATAGGACAAGCGCCAAGGTAAGTCATGGGAAACTGAGCGAGAGTGAAGATCTGGTCTGCTTAACAGATGACTTCTACTCTCAGGCCCCCAAAGGGACCAACCACGTGGATTATGTACAAAAAGAACCTAGAGAGATGTTAGAGACCTAGAGAACCCAGAGAGCTGTTAGAAAGACACCAAGAGACCTGTCTAGATAAGGAACAACATGCCAGAGACTTACCAAGACTCTGGTTGAACTGAGCATCTGGCTTGGTGTGTTTTGGCCGC